TATGGTTACGATGAAAAACGAAATTAGATAAGATCAAAAATCATGAATTTTTCGCAAATTTATTTAATTATGATGGTAAGGATGAAAAACCAAATTAAATAAGATCAAAAATGTATTAATTTTTAGAAAAATTATTTAATTATGATGGTTAGGATCATAAAATTTAACTAACAATTTATAACATCGTTTTGCTCAAAATACATCAAGAACAAAAGAGGCGTTGCGATTGTGATACACGCTGTGTGACTGTTCGTAGCGCGCGCTTGACGTAGAATAGATGTGCACATCCTACCAAAACGTGGCAAGGCGTCGGGTAGCATCGGGTAGCGTCGTGTAGCGTTGCGTCGGGTGTCTTCCCCGCTTAAGGCTACATCTACGAAGTCTAGTTTCACACTGAAGATGGCGCAATGCATATGAATAACTCAAACAAAAAACTCACACTTTGGACCCCGAAGGTGCGTGCGCTAAACTCAATCAGCCCTCGAAGAATTGGAAAAATTTCACATTTGGAAGTAGGATTCAGTTTTGAGGTGAAGGGATTGGTCAAAATCCGAACTAAATACTGATATGCGATTGTTGCCGATCTGGACTACCACAGACATACCTACATATATTAGAGAATCTTCAATTAGATTTTCACCGATGAAGTGGAACATTCTTACAATGATATTCAGCGAAAATATCACTAATGTACAGAGGATGAAACGATTTAGAATTTTTTAATTGTAAAAACAACGTAACTTAATATAATACAAAGTGTATAAATTATTACTTTTTTCAAATTAATTTTTTGGTTTTATTAAATAAATAATAATGATTAATGTTGTAAAATGATCACGTCATGATTGGTAGGGATTTGAACGAGCTACGAGAGCTCTACACGGGTGTCGTTGTGGGATGTGGTGGAGGTATGAGGTGGTAGAGGTGGTTTGTGGTGGTGGATTCGCCGTCAGACCCCAACTACTAGAACTAGAAGATGGTGGTGGGATGGGTCAGCGGTGGTGCCAGAACCGGCCTTTTTTATATAATTATATTAAATAAATGATGATATTAAGATCGGTTAAAAAATTGGTTTCATTGAGTTTAATCCTCCATTTTTTAACCATTTTTACAGCCAAATAGCGTGGCAGTCAAGCCAGCGGGTGACTCTCGGCTCGTCGACCCTGCGGTCATGGGTTCAAATCCCGTTTCCCCTTCTCTTTTTTCACCCTTCCCAGTAATTGAATTATCTCAACGCATTCATCAAATTCTCATTCTGGTTAACATTAAAAAATAATTCCCTAGGTTGGTGGACCGCTTGACCAATTAATATCTTTCAATTAATTAAGTTTTTAGTTGAGATAAAAAAGTCAGTGTCACGAGCGGGATTCGAATCCACGACCTTATGCTACCTATCCAGGTCACGATAGCTCAAGTGGTAGAGCATCGGCGTATCTAGCCGAAGATCGTGGGTTCGAATCCCGCTCATGACACTGACTTTTTTATCTCAACTAAAAACCTTAATTAATTAAAAAATAATTTCAGTTAATAAGATAATAAAAGCAAAAATTAAACAAACTTACCTTGTGTAGTTTTTTCAGCCGATCAAAATTTCAAATTAAATCTATTCAGAGTAGAATTTTTGTTATTAAAGGATAACAGTGGGTTATCCTCCGAAAGGATCCCCTAAGAATAATTGGCATTGTTTATCACATTACAGTCGAGATTATTTTTGTTGACTCTATTATGAAAGTTTATCACATCCACATAACATTCGCTTCTAAAACATTTCCCGTGTTGTAAAATTAAAGTCCCTAGGGGGTTCTTACTTAACCTGAATCCTTTCATAAAATCTTAATTGTTATCTCTGTTTTATCTTTAAAAATGTAGTGTAGATTTTTACTTCTGCTAGTTAGCATAAATAGAAAAATATCAGTCGATTTTTTCGTTCTTAAGAAATTTTTCTTTATTCGGATGAGAATATCATCTGAAATAAATCTAAAAAAATTAATTAAATTTTTTCAACAATACAACACAAGCTGTTTAGACATTCAATTATGTATTTAATTGTTTTCTAGTGTTTTAATTTTTAAGGACTGTGATATTTAAAATATATAACAGGTACTTACCCAAGATTTCTTTTTATTTTCCTGTTTGTTGTAATTTGATTCATTGATTTACGTTCTGATTTAAAGGATGTAAATATTTTATATTGAGTGAGTTTTATTTTTAACTTTTATTGTTTCATACATAATAATAACAAGATCATACAAATATAGTTAGCACATCGCTTAGAGTTTAGATACATTTTTGCTATATAAACTTTTTCTCTTGATATATATATTTATATTTGATTTATATATTTAATATGCTTATAAACGAAATTAAATCGTAACAATATAGAATAATTTTTACACCATTTGATTCTTTTTCTTATAGGCGTTTTCTATTACAAGCAACATCCCTGCACTTAATATCTTAAACAATTCAACATAATAATTCATTTTAGTAGGCTTAGGAATTCGCTATGACTTTAATACTATATTTACACTGGTCGATCAGCTAGTTTCGTTTTACACATTTTCCTTTTATTTTATTAAAAAAATAAAAAAATTAACGTTTTAACACTAAACAAATGGGTTTAAATACTTTGTCTTTTTCTAAAAATTAACCCCCATCACATGGACACAAGAGTTTTGACTCCTACTAATATTTACAACGCGACGGCCCTGCAATTTATGAAGTTCCGTCGATGAACAACAGGTAACAACAATTATTGAACCGAGGAGAAAACATTTTTTTTTGGCACAGTTAAGCGTTAAGTATCGCGTAAAAAAAACATTTTTACATTAATTAAATTTAAATAAAAATTCACGATATTTTGTCTTTTTGATAAATTGGTGTCAAATCAAAACTAAAAGACGGTAAAAGAAAAGCGATGGGCGAACCACGCACTGCAGGTTGAAATAAAGCCGGCTAAAGTATCGCTCTGTACACAATTTTATTTATTTTCTCCGCCTTATTATATTTCATATATGCTTCAAGACGTTTTGTACACTAGGCTAAGTTTATACAATACACAGAGAAAGTCGGTTGTCGGAAGAACCTGCTCTGGCAAAGGTTAAAAGAATGGATTTAGTCGTCGCAGGGGGTTGTTTTTTTTTCGTTCCCCCCGGTGGTTGACAAGGGGCGGGAGGGCCAACTCGTTTTGACCCGAGTCCTTCCGCGTCCTGCCTCCAAAAGGCTTCTCCAAAACACGGCCCTCTCACGGCACAGGTGAATTTGTGCGGTAGGCAAATGGGAAAATCCTTTAAACAACGTTGGTTAAGATATATTGTTCGGGGGGGTTTTTCCTCTTTTCTTTCCCTAGGCTTCTTGGGTTCAGAGAGACGGGGCGGAAACGCAGTTATCGACTGTTTTCAAGGGCGAACAAGTTTGTAATAATGAAACAATACTGAAATAATTGGGTCTTAAAAAATGATCAGATAGGAACCCAAACACTTAGTTCTTTGCCGAGGTTTCAAAAAATTATATACCCTAAATTAGGAGTTGCAATTGTAATGAATAATTAAAAGTTAACAAATATGAATATCTATTCACAATTTTGATTCTAGGTTAATGAAATTACAAAATAGTATAAAACCAGGCAAAGGCGATATTTTGACATATCGTTGGACCGTCTTGGGGAGGGCAAAGATCGCTGTTCAGTAGGTATGTATATAGTGTTGGGTTTAGGTTTATTTATTAAAATGAATGTAATTTATTACCGTGAAATGAAGGTGTTTTTTTATCCCATTCTATGGAATATCTAGTACTCTGAGGGAATGAATGTGGCTAGATTTCGATGTTTGTATAAATGGGTATATTGTATGTTTTGTGTTTATTGTCTGTATTTGACCTGTGGTACAAATGAGAGGCTTGCTTTCCACATTATATACATAAACCAGATCAAACCTGACCCGATCATACACACGCAAAAAGGTCGACAAAACAACTGAGTGTTTTGTTTCCAATTTGCCTCATATTATCAATAATTAATAACGTTGTTATACAATTAAATCCATAGCAGTTCAGACCAATTAACATTTTTCAATTAATTAATATTTGGTTGAGATAAAAAAAGTCAGTGTCACGCGTCCTTCCAGATAAAAAAGTGTCCGAGCGGATCGAAGTCACGATAGCTCAAGTGGTAGAGCAGCGGCGTATTTAGCCGAAGGTCGTGGGTTCGAATCCGCTCGTGACACTGACGGACACTTTTTTTTATCTCAACCAATACCTTCCATAAATATTAATTAATCGAAAAAAGTTGTTATACAATGTTGATCACATGTCATATTAGCGATAATTTGGAAATATTAAAGAAGGACTTTATAGTTTTAGAAAATGAACAGAGTAATGTGTTTTAACCTAAATAAGTCATTTTAAAGAGTATCATCATAAAGGTATTGCCATAAAATCTCTTCCTTTTTGTGACTATTTTTTTCCAGATAGATTGAGAATTTTCTTTTTATTTACCCATAACCTAAAAATTACCACAACCGGAATTATCATCAAAGTTGACCATAAAATTTTTCAACGATGTGTAACCAACAAAGGTTTTATATTTAAGCGCTGAAATATTATGACAAGAAACAGTTCACAATTGCTAACATACTCTAAATAAATTCGTAAAATAAATAAAAATAAAATTATCTTAAAAAATAGAAATTCTTCGAAGACCGACTCAGTCCCACGTTGCGGCGTATTTAGCCGAAGGTCGCGGGTTCGAATCCGCTCGTGACACTGACGGACACTTTTATTATCTCAACCAATACGTTCCATAAATATTAATTAATTGAAAAAAGCTGTTATACAATGTTGATCACTTGTCATAGCGATAATTTGGAAATATTAAAGAAGGACTTTATAGATTTAGAAAATGAACAGAGTAATGTGTTTTAACATAAATAAGTCATTTTAAAGAGTATCACCATAAAAGTATTGCCATAAAATCTCTTCCTTTTTGTGACTATTTTTCTTCCAGATAGATTGAGATTTTTCTTTTTATTTACCCAAAACGTGAGAATTATCAAAACCGGAATTGTCATGAAAGATAACCATAAAATTTTTCAGTAATGTGTAGGCTAACCAACAAAGGTTTTATATTTGAGCGTTGAAATATTATGACAAGAAACAGTTTAAAATTGCTAACATACACTAAATAAATTCCTAAAATAAAAATAAAATTATCTTAGAAAATAAAATTTTTTCGTAGTCCGACTCAGTCCCACGTTGCCAAAGACTGCATCAGTATTGAGTACAATTTGTTTACAATTTGAAGACTGCTTGTGGACATGGAAAATTACTTTTGGGCCAAAGCTGAATATGTACGTCGCATGTAGAAAATGGTTGATCGATGTCTCACACAAAATAAAGGCGCAATTCATATAAATTGCGCGTAAAAATTTCCTTTATGAGAATTGTTCTTGAGCCGTCGCCAATGTCTGTTTTTCCCGTTCAAATTCTTGGTCTAAATAGAGTTATTTTTATTGTATATAGAGCTGATACTATTGTGTACCCTAGAGTGTTGAGAGTGGATGAACTTATTAGCACGAATGTGAGTGGGTCGGTGGTTTAATTTTGAGTACCCATCGACCCTCAATTATATTAATTATATAATATGCGTATCAAGTATCCACCAACCTGACTGAATGTCATGTAAATTGCAAAATAAATATTTAAGAGTGAACGAGAGTGTGAATGGATTTAGGTACTGATTGCGTTAAATGACCTAAATGACCTAGCTTTTGACATCCCCTGGAGCCCAACCTCATTGCCAGGACGAATAAGACGTAGGTCTGATCCTGGACTGCCAACTCGCGAGGTGGGTGATTCTCGTGGCCTGCCGGTAATTTATTATAAATTACACAAAAGCTGCATTGCCGGCGAGCTGCGAGAATTGATAGGCGTGTATGTACATGAATGTGAAAATTTGAGCTCATATCAGGGTTTGTCTTTTTTTAAAGAAAATTCTTTATAATTTGAAAAGCTATTTACACAACTGTGAACAATGAGAATTGATCCGAGCGTATAGCTTATTCAAATACAGTTCCTCTCTATTTGTGATGATGATTTTTGGCAGTTTGTTTGATTTCCAATAGTTTGTTTTATGTTTCATTATTAAACTATTAAAAATTTTTAAAAGTATAAGTTTAGCATAAAAATTTTCAGTGTGCTACCTTTCTTTTTACATTAATTTATCATTCGCCGATTTTCTCACCAGGTAGTGTTGTTTAATTACAAACCGTACAACAGACGGAATTTCATAAAAAGATACTGAAGACTAGATGTCAATAAATTTTAATTAAGAAGTGAACAATAATTAAGAAGTAAACTGGCTATTTTTAAAAATCAAATAAACTACTTCTTTAAAAACAAGTGTTAAAATTGTAATAAAATACCGTCATTGTTTTAATTCAAATTAATTTCAAAGAAACCATTATTGCAGTTGGCGTTTTATTTTGCTTATTTAGTATGAAAAAGGAGACAATTTCCTTTTTTTTAAGCTTCAAATGTAATTTGTTATCCAAAAAGTAAAATTTATTTGGCTTTTACATAATAGTAATGACAGACAAAACAAAAAGGAAAAGTAACTATCTAATATTATTAATAGATTAATTGGAAGGGAAATATTAAAGAAGTGTAGAGAGAATTAAGAAATTATGTTTAGGGAGAGAACAAAATTTTTCCTTTATGCCGGTCTAAATCTGTCCTGTCTGCCAAGTTTTGGCTAAAAAAAGAAAAAAAAAGATTTTTGTAAATTTAAATGTACATTGCGGAAGAGATTTCCCAAGTGTCAGTGTCAAATAAACACAGATCAAGAGTTTATTTAAAAACTCGTGAGGTTTAAAAAAAATTGAGAACAAAACGCACAAGCTTTTCTACCTAAAATATATTTCTGTTTGCCACTCATTTGATTCAAGACCTATTAGAATTTTCAAATGATCAAATAGGTCATTTGTAAGAAAAAGAAAGGTGTTATAAGATATAATAAAAAAATAAAGACTATGTACAACAACTATGTACATCAACAAATAAACGTTTGAATGAAAAGTCGAATTTTTCAAAAAATAGTTCCCTACAAAATCTTTTATGATAGCAAGAACTCATTAAATCATAACATTTAATAATGTTTGATCTTTTCAGCTAATAAACAATGACATTCAATTATTTAAATCAATATACGTTATGACAACATCGTTCATAGAATGTGTGGTACTTTATAAAATGTAAGTTCAGTTTGAGATAAATTGGTTGATTGTTGTATTTTTTTTACAATTAATAGCAGGCTAAATTTGGATGTGTTTTGAACAGAAAGAATGTTTAGAATAAATTATATTGAATGGCGAGAAGAAAAAAGTAATAAGTTGTCTCGCTAATATCACACATTCACGAACATTTGAATGTTAATTTTGCCTAAAATGTCATTTCCGCTTCTCTCAAAGAAACCCTTTTCTGCCGGGGTCGACGATTTGAGCTGTTGAAAAGAGAAAACGTATTGTCTCAAGATTCAAAATCGCGATCTGGGCCGAAAGTTTGAAAATACGCCGATTAGATTAACCGTGAGATGGGGATGAAAATGTACAATACGGCCGTGATATGAGATGCACCGCCTGAGGGCGGCTCGCTCGGTCCAAGGGATTCCTGCCTCCGCGGGGGCGGCGTGTCCGGGATCGCGGCGTACGCGGAGCCACCCTCGTCTTCGTCTTCTTCCTGGTCTTCCGCCACTACGGTCGGTATCGCAGGGTGCCGGTTGTTGACGACTGGACCTGGGATCTCTGGAAAACAAACAACATTTTCGTCCAATCCGATACGTATCGTTGACATCATCCTGATCACTTTACTGGATCCGTTTTAGCTGGTTTACGTTTCGCCAAAAAGTGGTTCGGTTTCAAACCATCTTCAGTGAGGAACTGGAGACGGACCCAGTGAAGGGATCAGCAATGATCAATTGTCAACCACTCGCAAACCAACAAAGACCAACAAGTTTACATAATCGTTTATGAAATTAAAAGATTGTGGTGGCCACCTGCAGTTACCACGGTACTCGCTAGGTGCCACTACCGGTCCTGGAATGGTCTCGCCCTCCACTCTGCAGCGAATCAGAGCAGAGCCATTACGTATAAAAGCAGAGCACTGCCCCACTGGCTTCAGACTCGTCTCTCTGACAAGTTCTCGCTAATCACTTTAGCTAATCAATGGGGCACCGACGAAGATAGCAATGACACTCGCAGCATTAACCTCAAACTCATCATCATAGCCGACTTGGCTACTGGCCAACTGCTGCACTCGGCTATGTGCAGCACCAGAGTCAACCGACTCTCGTCCTCGGAACAACGGCACTCACACAAGGTCTCGACTTTATTCATCGTCTCAACACTTCAAAACAACACCGGCCTTTGTCAAGGCTACCAAAAAAACTCCCACACACTAAAAGATTATAGTTCATTGCTAATTAATATAAATCTTATACAAATCTAATCTCGATTTAAAACAAAAATTACTACCGTGAGCATAGTCAAATACCAAAGGAATCATTTATGCTTTTTATTTAATTTTTGATCCTTCTATTTTTTTACATAAAAAATCTTTTATAAATAATAAATAAGTAAATTATAGGGGGTATTCACGATCTTTGGGTTAACCATGTTAATTCTGTTAGGTCGTGTTAGATCGAGAAAAGTGATGACGTAGACTTGTAAGAATCGGCTAGTTAATATTACTCGATCTAACCGGCCAGGGCTAATGTCGAAAATGTAGTCACTTTGCTATCCGATAGGGCGTAGGTAACCAACATGGCAGCCATGAATTTAACAGCTGTTTTTGGTTTACATGTTTAATCTTAAATACGCATTAATGAAATCAGTCCAATGCATTTCTTTTGTTAATTTCTGACCTGTCCTTATACTCTCATTCATAATAGGTACATCCCATATCCTATAAAGTTGTAGGCAGTTTGACGTTAGGATACAAGTTAGGTATGTCGGCACGAATTAAAGGGTGTCATTTGTTAGTACTTTTCGAGTGCGTAGATAGCATTTTGAATGAAAGAGTTGATTAATTTTGCTTTTTATTGGCATCTTACAATTTAACACGAAACAAAACAACAACAAGACTTCAAAGACAGTTATATCTTTATTTTTGGTTCTACCAGTCGCCAAGCGCAGCATTGTGGAAAAATGAACATTTACTATGCTAAATAAAAAAAAGGGGGCGTTCAAGATCTTACTGTATATTTCTCGATTTGAGTTAACACGAATTAACAAACATCGTGAATAGCCCTAGTATGCTATTATTTACCGTATAGTCGAATGCTCCTTTCGACCTCGCCCAAGGAATTTTTCGCCACGCATCTGTAAGTGCCGACGTCTGTTTTTCTGAAATTGTGAACCTTGAGCATCATCCATGTCTCGAATAGGGACCTGACGCTAACTTTGGTTTCGTACTTGTCGCTTGTCACGACCATGTTGTCACCTGAAAACGGAAAAAAATCTATTATTTTCAAATGTTTATTTAAAAAATTAATAATAATTGTTGAAAGAAAAAGAACTGAAGTTGTGAGGTAAAAAATCCTCCTTCCATTCGGAAAATAGCTGTATTATAAATTCTATGTGTTTTTATAATGTATTAATTAAAGCTAATACAAACCAGATCAAATGGTAAACTCACCAACACAATGACAAATAAAATTATTTGGTTTGATTGGATTATCCTATTTACTATTTGTTCCTTATTATTATAAATTACTGATCACGAGTCATCTGGATCACGATATGGTCTTGATGTAAAAGCAAATTTAATTGTTACTGTCCAGCTTTCCACCTATTTTAAGATCATCATCAGAGCAAAACAATTGTGTACAAATTGAGTTTCATTTTGATTATAATTTTTCTTTAATTATTTACCCTTAATGAAAAATGTATCTAATTATTAGTTCTCAACCAATAAAGGTTTTCATTAAAAATATGACATGTACGATGTTCTTGAGCTGCTGTTCTCCTTAGGTTCGATATCACGTTTTTCAACCTTGCAAAGGTTATTTCAGTAAGAAAAGTTCTAAAAAAACATAAAAGTGAACGTGTCCTTGGAATACTTATAACATAAAGCAACTTGGGTGAAATCCTAGAAAATTTTGATGAAAAAGACATTGCACGAGCCAAAATCGAGTATTTCCAAAAAAACATGGGTTTTGCCATCTGAGCGGATACTGTGTATTCGGAAACGCGAATTTTTCAACGGAAATGTTGTCATATTGTGGACAATTTAATATAGTAGGCAAAATAAGGGTCAGATTTCTATTTAAGTCGTCCTGGTGGCACTGAACTTCGTTTTATTTAGTGAATCCGCCAAGGAAGTATTGACATTTAACCCTTTAACACCCTGCATACAAGAAAATAACCCTGTTTTTTTATTGTGTATTTTTCCGTTTCTGATTGTTTAACCAACGACCTCTGGCAGACGGATCCAAGATCCATGTCCTTAAATGTTTTGAAATCAAAATGGTCATTTTTCCTTTCTTAAGTTCAATAAAGCTTATTGATTATTATTATTATTATTATTATTATTATTAACCCTGTTTCGTCCAATAAGTGGAGTAGGGAATCCAAAAACTCGCTTCCTTCTCAAGAACAATTCTCATGGTGGTATTCATACGCGCACTTTATACGGAGCCGAGAAATTGCACCTTTTAATTAGGGGTAAACATTTTTTTCATTCTTTTTTCATACCAGATAATACCCTGCAATGGCCCAAAAGTATGTGTCCATGTTTCAACCTTGGAAAGATTATTTCAGTAAGAAAAGTTCTAAAAAACATAAAAGTGAACGTGTCCTTGGAATACTTATAACATAAAGCAACTTGGGTGAAATCCTCGAAAATTTTGATGAAAAAGACATTGCAAGAGCCAAAATCGAGTATTTCCAAAAAAATATGGGTTTTGCCATCTGAGCGGATACTGTGTATTCGGAAACGCGAATTTTTCAACGGAAATGTTGTTATATTGTGAACAATTTAATATAGTAGGCGAAATAAGAGTTAGATTTCTATTTAAGTCGTCCTGGTGGCACTGAACTACGTTATATTTAGTGAATCCGCCATGGCAGTATTGACATTTAAACCTGTAACACCCTGAATACAATAAAATAACCCTGTTTCTTTATTGTGTATTTTTTCGTTTCTGATTGTTTAACCAACGACCTCTGGCAGACGGATTCAAGATCCATGTCCTTAAATGCTTTGAAATCAAAATTGTCATTTTTCCTTTCTTAAGTTCAATAAAGCATTATTATTATTATTAACAACTAATTAAGGTTTTTAGTTGAGATAAAAAAGTCAATGGCACGAGCGGGATTCGAACCCACGATCTTCGACTTGATACGCCGCTGCTCTACCACTTGAGCTATCGTGACCTCGATCCACTCGGACACCAACTTCCCATCTCAACCGCACCTTTTGAATTTTCCTTCCTTATCAATCATTAAATTTACTAATTTCGCGGTAATTAAAAATGAAGTATACTTCACTAAAAGCTCTCCGTGGCCATTTCATTTGTCCCGAAAAACAAATAGATTACTCGACATTTGAAAAATGGCAAAAGGAGGGAAAATTCAAAAGGTGCGGTTGAGATGGGAAGTTGGTGTCCGAGTGGATCGAGGTCACGATAGCTCAAGTGGTAGAGTAGCGGCGTATCAAGCCGAAGAACTAAAAACCTTAATCAATTGTAATATATTAATTGGTTAAGCCGACCACGAAATTAGTGAATTTAAGGAATATCCAATAAGTGGAGTAGGGAATTCAGATACTCGCTTCCTTCTCAGGAACAATTCTCATGGTGGTATTCATACGCGCACTTTATACGGAGCCGAGAAATTGCTCTTTTAATTAGGTGGTAAACATCAACCTTTTTTCATACCAGATAAACATCCGGCAATGGCCCAAAAGTATGTCTATGTTTCAACCTTGCATAGTCCATCCTTAATGGGGTGAGGAACACCCTTCTTTCTACGAGTCAGATCCTCCGAGGGCTATTGACCGTGCTCTTGATATGCGAGAGTTTCTCTGCGATTCGGCCCACCGTCGCTACCACTTTCTTTTAAAGAGATTTTGCTAAAATGGATTTTTAGCGTCAACGGGCCTGATCGCGATGGTTAAGTTCACCGGCCTCAAAAGTCCATCACGCATGCCGATCTTTATAGGCCTTAAGACCATAATGGAGTGTATGACGAGGATGTTTCTATACTTCTAGAAAACATAATTTTTCGCAAGTTGCCACTTCCTTCAATGTTATATAATTTTTTTACGTTAATTTGAAATATATTAATTACAAAAAAGGCGTAATTGTAGTAATTTGTTGCAACAATGATGTATATTAAAAGGATTTGTGTTTAAAATGAATGTACCAATAAGACGACACAAAAGATGGCGAAACGTCGCTAAAAATAAAAACTGCTCTTTCTTTGTTTGTGTTAATAAAAACCTATAATAACTTAAAGCTTATATAAAAAAAGAAAAATAAGATCACTGTTATTAATTTTATTATTAAAAATTACTGGGATTTTGGCTGAAATAAGTAAGTTTTCCAATGTCTAATAATCTCTCGGCTTCTCGGCTCGGTGGCCTTTAATTCAAGGGAATGAATTCAACTTAATGACAATATTTTCATAGGAAAATTGTTCTAAATTTATATATAGAGCCAATTAAGTCATTATAAATGGCCATTTATTCGACCATCGTCGGACAGCGCGTGCTAATACGACTTTCCGACCGTGAACGACATAATTTATCGGATTATCTTCGGCGGGAAACTTTCACAGGCCGGTCCATTACACAAATGACTTACGCACTTAATGAAATTAATCGCGATTAAGTTCTATTTCGGCAATTGGGGCCTTAGGTGGCCTGTCATAAAAGCCGTCGCACGATTTCGATAGCCAAACAGCATTAAAGCCCCATCAACAGATTGGCTGACTTATCTGTAAAGTCACTCCGATCGGTTTGTGTAGGTAAGAGGATTTCCCGGTCCACCTTAATCTAATTGAAGGAAGGGTTAATTCAATTAGCCGGGACTTGTGCGGATTTCCACACTGCGACAAATTTTCTCCTGAGTGCATGAAGCCGTCTGACGGTAGCGTGCATGTTTCAACTTTACGCCAATGACCAAAACGTCTTACCCAGCTGGAGAAGAAGAAGAAAAAAAAACTTTATCTCTCGTTCGGGAACATCGGTTTAACAAAATATGCTGAAAAGTACAGAAGCCCGTGAAAAATTGATCATCTTAAGTTCGATTTTCATTTCCTAACACGTACGGCTTAAAAATTCATGTACTATTTCTTTTGCCCTGGAAAAATTTATATTCTTTATTTTGTAAAAACACCTTCCGATTGATTAAAAGTTAAGGTACACAGAATTTTTCTAACTTTTAACAGATGACACTTGATTTCTATTAACTAAAATTAACTTTCTGAACATGTCAGTACAAAATAAAACATTTTAAAATAATTTTGTTTTCTTGCCATGTCATGAAGTTCTTTTTGTTTATTGACCATAATGCCTAACTTTTCGATCATTTTGTGACCCTTTCTCAAGGCGAGACGTCTACAGAATTACACTGACAGGCAAACAATTCCACCCACTTGTAAATATAACTTGATTTGTATATATTTTTATGTATGAATCAAATTTTCACGTTTTTTGACGTTTAATACTTGAGTCTTTGTCTAAAAAAAGTAAATTGTTAACGAAAATGCAAAAAAAGACGGACAAATAAAATTTGTTTTAATTTTGTTTTAGATTTTTAATTAACATTTCAATATCGCGTATTTCTCGTCTGGCCTTAATTATACTTAATATATTTTCTACCTGTCTGGAAATATCTCTTTGATGGAGGTTAGCCGATTCTTCACGAAGAGTCCTTTCAAGATTGTGAAATGTATTAGGAAGTGATGGACGTGCTCTCATTAATCTTTTGAGGTTATCCCATAAATGTTCGATGAGGTTCAAAACTGGAGAACGGGGTGGCCAGGCTAAGAACCTGATCTGTTGACGGTACGTTTGTTCTATGCGAGCGACATATGAACGGGCATTATCGAGCATTAGAATAGGATTGTCGCTGATTTCATCGAGGGTAGGATATGGACTATGTTCAAAAATTTCATCGAGGAACAATAAACAACTCTGTGCGACTCTCCATTGAAATTCCCGCCACACCATCACTGAGCTATGTGAAAAGGTTGACCCTGGGAAAAATTACAGGCTTCGCACCTTTCATTTCGCCTTCTCCACACACTTTCAGGCCCATCTGGAGATCGTAGAGCAAATCTACACTCATCTGTAAAAAGTACAGCAGACCAATCGTCCAAAGACCAATGGCTGTGGTCTCGAGCAAATAGGAGCCGTGACACTCTGTGTGTTCTGGTCAATTCTGGTCCTCTTACAGGGCGAAAAGTCATCAGTCCTTACTGATTTAATCTTCTTCG